CCAATATTCGGAGTTACGAATAAATTAACGCGCCATTCCCCGTTCGAATTAATTCCGTGAATGAACAATGGCCACGAACGTTCTCGAGACCGTCATTGAAGACGCGTCATTGAACGTCGCTCTTTGCGATTAAATGGACGATGGCTGTCGAAGTCTTTCGCCGAGGAGAAATAGTGGAGCAGCCAGCGTTTCACGATTAAAGACCGTGCGGTTTGTTGTTAGTTCGAACAGGCGAAACGGCTTGGCCGTTTTTATCACGCTTGTTCGTTCGAACAATTAGAACAGCAATTAAACGCAAGAAAGTCCGAGCAATGTGGGACGCAGGTTGCAAATTGCAGTTGCCGAACATTAACGCTTTGTCGCCTGTCGCAGTTTCGTTCGCGTGGTTTCAGCTCTTTCCAACCCCTTCAAGTTTCACCCCCGCTTTGCATTTTTGCGGCTCCGGGGCGGACGCGTCCGGAATTTTCGAGCGTCTTCGACGCGGACACGGTTGCCAACTCGATGAAAATTCCACGCGATTGATTTGCCCCGCGATCCTTCAGTTTCAGTTTAACGAGAAAAACATTTGAATATTATTCGTCATTTCTGTTTGAACATATAGTTCTCGTAAAACAGATATTCGAGAGAATGTATTGACACTTATTTGGAAGAAACGTCGGATGATTATAAAAAGTACGAGATTTTTTTTTATATACAATACGTTGTTTAATATGGCGTTTTCGCAAAATGGTATACACCATTAAATTTGTCGTTAAAAGAAACACCGATCTCACCAATTTATACAAAACCTGTATTACCAGTAATTTCCAAGATATTTGATAAAATATCTCGAGCACTTTCAACATTGAGGGTAGTTTTCACCCCTTCAGCGTCGATTGCCGACGATAATGAAAAAACAAACGTGTCAAATATTCTTTCGAAAGCTACATTTATGTTTGTAAATTTCATCAATAATCGTTCGGTATGTTCCCTTGTAAGTTCTTTATTCTCTCTTTATTTTCTCCGAACTTCTCCTTCCCTTGTTCCGAGATTGTTTGACGAACGACTTTAGAAAGAAGAATTTTTGTACCTGTACGACCAGGAATAGATTTCATTTAGTATCGGGAAAAGTTTCTTTTCGCACATTTTCGCATCAAAGTTGGAACACTCGTACGTTTCCTCATATGTTAATATTTACGATAATTTTACTTAACGAGGTAATCGTAATATGCGTTTTGCAGCATTAGCTGCGACGTTTCCGTCGTTTTAAACTCGCAAAGCGTGAAAGCACGAATTTCGAACTTTTCATTATCCTTCTTTAACTTTGTACGAACGATGCAATTGAAAACTACGCATCGTGGATACCAACTCGTCACAAATATAACTTTCTGTTAATATGCAACTTCATGTATCCGCAATTAATAATTGAAATCTTTCGTGACTTTAACACATTGGTAACAAGACGACTGCACGAACTTTTTCCTCAAATATACAGCTGAAATACAGGGTGTTCCATTTGAAATGTTCCATGTGATTATTAGAGAAAAATATGTGTCAAGTAAAGCTTAGTTTGTTTCAAAGTGATTGGTTTTTTTTTTTTCTCGAATGGAACTATATATTTTTCCTCAGATAGACGTTCCATTTGAAATGTTCCATGCAATTATCTGCCAGATTATTAGAGAAAAATATGTGTCAAGTAAAGCTTAGTTTGTTTCAGTTATTAGTTTTTTTTTTTTCTCGAATGGAACTATATATTTTTCCTCAGATAGACGTTC